TTTTTTTTTTTTTTTTTTTTTTTTTTTTTTTTTTTTTTTTTTTTTGTGGGAGTTAGAATTATCCAGTGAAGACTTTTGTCATAGGAAGGAGAGTACAGCCCTCTTAAAAGGATGACTGACATTGTATCGCTTTTTTTTTGGGCTGTCTTTTGTGATATTAGTTTACTCATTCTAAGGGAGATTCCTTACAAATTGGAATTAGAGTTGTTTGAATCTGAGGCAGATGCAGGGAATGATGCAGGATAAAATCAAGGAACGTTGTGAGCACACCGAACACAAGCTAGTGGGTATCAAAGAAAGTCTAGGAAAGATAGCAGAACAAATGGGGGAAATGCAAAAGGCTTTAGACTTAAGAGACAATTTCATTGATGATTGAAATTTACAAAAAGGAGGTATAATCCATGGTGTTTACAAAAGACCTTCCCAATTTGCAATGAGGGAGGTATAACTATAGGAAGTAAAAATATTAAACAATTTACACCAAGATATAGCTTGGTAAACAACATTGTCGAAAAGTTGTGTAGGTCTGTGTCTTTTCTGCAAATATTCTCAAAAGGTGTTAGACATTTTAGTGTCAGAAAATGCAAGGTGAAGAATGTAGAAGAAACGACAAGGGAACATTGTCTTTAAAGAGAGAAAACAGAAGACAAAGGGAGAGACTCCTCCCAAAGCTCCCAAGAACTAGCCACGAGCAACAAAGCCAAGTTCAAAAAAGTGGAAATTTGGCCTCCTCAGGTGAAGGGCTGGACGCATGATTATTCCACGCAGGAGATACTTTGAGATTTGTAGATTGATAGAATCAAAAAAGTTCATCATATCCGTGGTAAGTTTCGAAGGGGAGGCCCTCTCCTGGTTTGGCTGGCTTACCAATCGCCAGAAGTGCACGGATTGGAATGACCATGGATTTGTTATCATTGAATTCTGTCCTTCGTGAAAAGGGATTTTGAGCTTGCGATGTCTAGCCTAGGAGGACTCTGTAGCTGATTACAGAAGGCGGTTTGAAGAATTAATAGCACTGTTACCTAACCTAAATAAATATGTGCTTGAAAGTACTTTCCTAAATGGTTTAAACCCCACCATTAGGGCGAAGGTACTGTGCTTGGAACCAGAGGGCTTAGAAAAACGATGTCCACGGCTCAACTCTTCAAGGATGCAGCCCTAGGGTTATGGCCCACCAAAGGAGCTCACTAGAGAACAAAAACCAGAGTCTTAACCACTCCATCGAGATAATGTGTACAAACAGTGACTTTAGCATCTAAAGTGGCCTTAACACTTACGCTCAAAAGCCTATCTTGATCATGGGACAATCAACATTGGGGCAATATGGTGAAAATGAGGCTATATCCGCAATTTCAGATCATCCAAATAGTAGCAACCTTTCCGAGCCAGGTTAGTAGATCAATTGCTTAATAAATATCATTCTGTTTTTCACATGTCGCAGGGACTCCCACCAAAGAGTCATCAATCATCAAATCCAACTATTAAAGGGGCAAGGCCCCGTAGAAAACAAAGATAAAGCATTTGATAATTGAAATGTTAGCCACGGGTATTATTTGCCCAAGTGGAAGTCCTTATGTCAGCCTTGTGTTACTTCAAAGAAAAAAAGATCGAAGTTGGGGCATTTAACCAGGTCACAGTATTGAATAAGTTCACCATTTCCATGGTGGAAGAACTCCTCGACAAACTCTACAAGTCTCACATGTACTCCAAAGATTGACATGAAGTCGAGGTACCGACCAAATATAAGTTTGTGAAGATATCCCAAAACAACATTCCTCACGCACGACAACCATTATGAATTTCTAGTGACGCCTTTTGGGCTCAAAAATGCATCGGCCACATTCCAAGCTCTCATGAATTTGATATTTTAGCCCGTCCTACAAAAGTTCATATTGGTATTCTTCGACAGCATCTTGATCTATAGCCCTCGTTTAGATACTCACTTGACTCGTCGGACAATAGTGTATAATGTTTTGAGAGAACTATTTTGACATCAACATGAAGAAATGTTATTTTTCCAAGGAGCAAACAAAATAGCTCGATCAATGATGCTGAAATAGGGCATTAAAGAAAACATGAAGAAAGTACTAGCAATGCTCAGTGGTCTATGCCCACAAATCTAATAGAGTTGTGTGGGTTCTTAGGACTAACTAGTTACTATAGAACGTTCATAGCAAATTATGAAGTCATCATCACTACACTATCTGATTTACTCAAGAAGAATATTTGGACAGAAAAAGCCACCAAGGTTTTTGAACAGATGAGGCATGCCTTAGTTATCATGCAAATTTCGGCTTCGCCTAATCTCGAACTGCCTTTTGTTGTGGAAGCTGACGTGTTCAAAACAGAGTTAGGGACAATCCTTTTGAACAACAAGAACCCATAGCTTACTTGAGTAAAAAAAACGTAATCATTTCAGGCCTATCAAAGTCAGCAGCAGCCCAGAGGCAACAACAAGGCAGCTGTTGCTTTATCACGAATGTTATACGAGGGAAATTATCATCACGAATGTTACAAATGTCAGACCCAACAAGGCAGTTAAGGAAGAGGTATCCAAAGATTCATACTTGGTCAAGGTTATCCAATGACTTAAAAAGAGACTACTCTATGAGGAAAGATTGGTCCTATCAAAATATTCAAAGATTTTAAGGATAGACCTACACATACCATTGACTCTATTTTGGGGGGCCACTCAAGATTCTTGCAAACTTACAAGTGGCTTCCGAGGTAGGATGAAGGGAAACGTGAAGGAATATGTGGAATGTTGTCGCATTGGCCAATGGAATAAAACACCACAACGTTGCCGATCCAGTTTCTTCGGCCTCTACCCTCACCTGATCAACTTTAGGAGGACATCAGCATGGATGTGGAAGGATTGCCTAAGTCGAATGGGCAGGAGGTTATCTTTGGGGTGGTCGATCAACTGAGCAAGTATGCCCTTTTTGTTCCCGTCTCACCCATCAAATGTCAAGTCATGGCGAATGCGTTTGTGAAGTGGTTCACCTCCATGGTTTTCCCTAGCATATTGTCTCAAATAAGGATCAAATTTTCCTCAATCACTTTTGGACAGAATAATTTTTTATTACAGCACACCCAATTTCATTAGCACAACCTACCACCCACGATTTAACAGGAAAACGAATACTTTCAATAAATGCCTAGAAACATATTTGCGTTGTTTATGTAGCGAAAAACCCAAAGTGGGTGGGATGGTTGCCATGCGCAGGGTATTGGTACAACACGACAAATCATGCCTCCATCAGAATCACACCCTCCCAAGCCTTTTATGGTCGACCACCTCATTCCCATGCTATTATATGGTTCCTAGAAAATGGATAATGCTACATTAGACCAGCAGTTTTCCGGTCAAGACAAAGCCCTCTTATGACTAAAAGCTCACTTGAACTCAACCTAAGAATGGATGAAAAAGTTTGTTGATCGAAACTGAGCTCAGTTTTGAGATCCTACCGTCAAAACTAAATGGCAAAATGACAAACGAAAAAACTATGACCCAAATACTGTGGGCCATATTGGGTCATTGAACCTATTGGACAAGTAGCGTACAAGTGAGAATTTCCAGAGAAAGCAACCATTCAACCCATTTTTCCCGTGTCCCAACTAAAGGCCCTTGCCCCAACCCAAGAGGTCCATATGAACCCACTCATGTAGACTGAAATTCAAATGGATAACTAAGCCATTAAGACATTTTTGGCTGTCACCCTAACTTTGATTATGGGGCTATGGAATTACTTGTCCAAGGGAAGGATCTACCCAAGCATGAAACCACGTGGGAACTGCATGAAGAAATATGCCAACCGTTTCCAAATTTTAACCTTGAGGGCAAGGTTCCTCTTAATCAAGGGGTAATGTTAGACCTCCTACAATTAATAGGTATGCTGGGAGGGGTAAGGGAATTGCACCCTAGATTGTTTGTTAGACTTTCTTTTATTTGGTTTTACGTGAAATTTTCTAATTAAACTATGCTGATAATATCAGATAATATATGTTTAGTTTGTTCTTGCGTGGGAGTTAAGTTTTATCTTGTGAACATTTTTGTTTTAGGAAAGAAAGTACAATCCTATCAAAAGACTGAGTGACGTTGCTTTGAACTAACATTTGTGATATTAATATACTGATTGTACGAGAGATTCCTTATAGTAGACCAATTGTATGCAATAGCATGCTTAATTAAAGATACAGAATTCGAAGCTTTAGCTAATAAAGATTTGAGTAAAATACACTTTTGGTACTTGAGGTTTAGAGTTGGTATCTATTTGGTCCATGAAGTTTCAAAAAGGACATTTTTAGTTTCTGCGGTTTGGAAAATGAATATAATCTATCCTAAAGGTCAGTTGACCGTTGACCTAATAGAAGGATGACATGGTAGCCAAGTTGATATTTATCATTTAGGCAACCTCTTTTTTTTCTGCAGATTTCTAAAGAGAGAGGAGGTGAAGGTAGTTTTTTTGGTTTATGCAACATTCTTTTTTTTTTTTTTTTTAATTTAGTTTTTGAGCTACTTTTCAGAGAGAGAAAGTAAAGATTAGATGGAATGGGAAGATGAAATGGGAGAAAAGAAGAGCGGAAGATGGGGAGGAGAGTGGTCCTGAAAGAGGGATGAGAAACAAAAACGAGAGAAGATCATGAAACAAAAAAAGATAGAGAGAAGGGGGAGAAAGAATGTGTTAAAAATCATTTAAAATTAATAGTTTTACCAACTTATGGAAAAATGTCACTTTAGCAAAGTCTAATCATCAACTTAACTATCACGTTTTCTTTCTATTAAGTCAACTATCGGTCAACTAACCTTAGAGACTGTTTAAAATTATTTTTCAAACCTCATGGACTAAAAAGTATCTTGTCTCCCTTTGGAAATCTCAAAGAACAAATTAGACATTAACCCCAAACCTCAAGAACCAACCGTACATTTTGTCCTAGATTTTCACCAGATGAAGAGAATCAAGTAAGCAAAATTGAAAACTTGAGTTATGGACCTTTTCAAAGGTTGCTTCACCCATTCCAGTTTTATAAAGTTCGTGCACCATAGCTGTCAAAAAGATCTTGCTCTGCTTAGAACAACTCTTCATCACCTACACAGGAGAGAGCAAGTGAACTGTAGCCGACAACTTAAAAGTGCAGATCAAGTGGCGTGCTAGTACAAATTCATCATATTTATTGAATTGAAGCTTCCTGACAAATTAAAACTGAAAACACTTTTGTTGAGACAATAAGTCAATGACTAGCTCCTCATCTATGCAGTAATATGTTGGCTAAGACAAATAATTATCAAGCAAGCATAGACACTATTTTGAGGAAACTTTAGTAGGGGTGTAATTGGTTTGGTTTGGCTTGGTTTAGGTGTCGAACCGCAGCCTAACCGCCATTATATTTAGTAAAATAGAAAAATGATTGGAATCAATTCGTCGACCGTTTGGTCAGTTTTGTCTGGCAGTTCACTGTTTTAGGTAAATCATACACATATGTTGACCTAAGGCCTGCAAGTTACATATGGACCTACTGAGGTTAGCATTGAATGTGTTAGACAAAATTATTCAAAATATATATACAAGAAAATGAAATACTCTAGATCAAACCCACACCCCCAAGTTTACTAGTCAGGATCTAAGGACAACTGCACACACTATGCTCAGCTAAATTCAGTTTACTTTTTGAAAAAAATTGAAACCGACCAAAAGTATTTGGTTTTTCTTATCTACAAACCAAACTGGTTTCAATCCAAACCAACATCGATTCTCACTGCCTTAAATGATTTTTTTTTTAGTTTAGGTCAGACATGCATTTGATACCCAACTTAGAGTCCGTTCTTTTTTATCTTTTGATAGTTCTTAAAGGACTTAGAAATATATGCAACATGTAAGGGACATGCAATCAAATGAACGAAGAATATCAGGTTGGGCTATGGGCCAATCAGTTAGGTCATATTTGGACCAACCCGACAGGTCGGTTCAATGAACTATTTGTTAGATCAATCCAAAAATGGATGTAATTTTTCATACATTATATTTTATATATTTAAAAAGTAAACTTTTTAATATTTTTATTATTTAACAGTAAACTCAAATGTAGCTCAATAACGTTTGAAACTAAAGTTAGGGACTTGTTTTACATGGTGGGAAACTAGACTTTGTTTCCAAATCTGGGTTTTAAAATGTTGAATTTTCAGGGAAATAGTGCTCAAATTTCAATGTTTAGATTAGCAAAAAATTTGAGTATTTCTGCATAACTCCCACCTCGCAGAAAATCCATACAATTCTCACCATACGTATTGCAAATGAACAACGCTGCCATTTCTACATAATTTTTCCCTTATTATTTAACCATGCACCAAAAATTAATACTCTAGCATACTGCTTTGATAAACTAGACTTGAGAAAGTACATTAACTTACTTGAATATGAGGTGCTTGAAACATTTCATGAATCGCTGCTTCCACCTCAGCTATTCCTACATGTGTTTTCGCTGAAAAGTAGAAATATGAGTTTAAATACACAAAAACCAACTCCTAAATAACTTTCACAAATACATTTCTATGAAAAAAAAGTAAATAAATAACAAACTGAAGCAGCTTAGCAAAGGTGAACAGAAGTCTTTTGCATGGATGAAATTCCATTTTCGCGTGAAATAAGAAGCTTCTCAGTGATAGATTTCTAGCAGCAGTCCCAAAATTTTCTAGGAATCCTTTTTACTTCTCTCTCTTTTCTTCCCCTCTTTTTTTCCTTTTTCCTTTGATAGTTCTTTTTAATTCAATTTCAGAACCATCTAGGCAAGCGGAAAAGTTCCATTCCGGCAATGGAGCAAAGACTAGCTTCCATGATGGTATTGTTGAAGATGCAACTATGAGACCCTACACTAGATAAAGTTATAAGGGTAGCTCCTACTTCCTGTTAGTAAAACTATGGTTGGTTTTCTCTCTCATATGGTGTAATATCCAGCGGACAATAATAATGGCAATAAAAAAAGAGAGAAGATTTGCATGCAGAGCCGTTGGGCCAGCAGCGTCCACAGGGATGGCAGAGGGAGAGGACAAACGAGGTGGTGGCGTGCATCAAGGGTGAAGGACCTCAAAATCAGCCGAAAAACACATGGTTGGATAAATCTGATGGAGGGTTTGTTGGGATTTCATTCCCTTCAGAGTTGACTAAAGGATTAAAATCGCAAGAAGAAGAGAGAACCCAACTCTAAACCGAAGGAGAAAATCCAGTCGCCGGGGAGTGCTCGAGTTCAAATCCATGATGATTAATCAAGAAATCAAGCGTGTTGCGTAGGGGTCTTGTCAAAGGAGACTCAAGAAAGTGATTAATGAAGGAGAGGAAAACCAAGAGCCTTGGTGGGAGGAGATCGAATACATTGTTGAGGTAAGAGTTTGTGAGTCTCAACGAAACTTTCGAAGCTAGTGTGTTCTCTCAAAACTCAACCAAATAACATGATTCTTGTCCCAATAGGTTACATTTGAGGATCTAAAGGATTAGTGAAGAAATTAGGTGCGGATAGTGCTTGTACGACGAGAACTAGACGAAGGAGTTGGCAGCCGTGAAGTTGTGACACACACGTGGGTCAGGAAGCCTAGGGAAGAAGGTGACCAGTCCAGATCAATTCAGTTGGACTGGTTAACTTCGATTTTTTCACTGTTTTCACCCGTTGTTATGGTTTTTCACCTTGTAGGAAACTTTTGAGGAGTTTGGCAAATTTCGGGAATTTCTAAGGACCCAAGCCCGAACAAAAGTGTCCTTTTAGTATGTTTGAAAGCATGTTATAGGAAGTATGTCTTAGATATTTGGACCTGAACTGAATTAATTTGATGTATAAAAAAGCATATTGAACGTTATGATGCACATTTCCAAAGAAATGAACGAACTGAACTCCATTTTTTGCAGTTATATGGGGGCGATTAAGGGTTTGCCAACTAACCCTTAACATAAACCTAACTCAATTGTTAGGAGTCCAGATAACTATAGAACTGACTTATGATGTAGCTGCATTTTGTGGGGATCATTAGGGAATTTGTCAGTTAGTTTACTTTTAGTGAACCTGTCATGAGCGACAGGGTCCATAGTGATATCTTTAGAGTTGGTTGAACTTGAGACTTATGATGATTTGTTAATGCATATGACTTTATGCAGTTATACGAGGACGATTAGGGGTTTGCCAACTAGCCTCTAACCATATACCAAGCTCGATTGTCAAAGATTCGAATAACTATAGAACTGGCTTATGACTTATAATTGTACTTTGTGGGGATTATTAGGCAATTTTCCAGTTAATTTCCTCTTAGTGAACCTGTCACGGCAGTAGGGGACCACAATAGTACCTTGAAAGTTTTCTGAATTTTAGAATACATGAACCTTAGAAAATCTTATGACTAAGGTTGCACCTCGAGGGCCTATGATATAGAGAGACCAGCAGGAACGACAATGTAGAAGACCTAGAAAACTCTAGAGAAATTCTGAGGGCGGGAGGTCCGGATAAAACTAAGAACTATGAACTTGAACTAGTTTCCGTTGAACCCTTAAATTAAGCTTAGGTAGAATGAGTAAACCTCGGTGTAGCCTGGGAAAAGACTGGAATTGGGAACAAACTCCAAAACGTGAACAAGACACTAAACAAACAAATTAAGATCAACAAAACTTAATAATGAACCATGAACTATCAGCAAGCTGCTTACTGAGTATATTTTATATGTTCGTCCCTGCTACTTTAATTTTGTTTTTAGATGAGGTTTGACAAAGCGGGAGAGGCGGAGGCACACATGAGCTAGGCACGATGGAAATTTAGGCTAGATCGGTGTTTTGTCCCCTTTTGCATATGTTTTTTAATGAACCCTTGATTTCTGTATATTTGGATTTGTGAAATGTCTATGTTATGTTTTTGGGCGTGCATCATCTTGTATGTCAGTTATATTTATGTATTTTGAACATTGTTTTAAATCTAAATATTCTTTAAGTGCATGCACAGTTAAAAGTTCTAAATTTATGGGTATTTTCAAATATTCCATGTCAACAAGTAACAATCCGTGACTCGAGCTCTCAAAAAACAAATCGGACTAAAATTTGGGGATAGTAGTCAAGACCTAATATTGCCCTAAATCCATCCAAAATATAGGCACGCAAAAAGAATGCACTTGCCAAATAAATGCAAGGAAGCAATGAAGAGACAACCTAAAAGCAACAAAATATCTGGCAACTTAAATTAGGCTTCCAATTTTTATTTGGCACTATATTTGCTATAAAATATCTAGTAATACCAAACTTGAGTACATAAGAATTTATACCATTCATACTAGTGTTGGAAGTCAAACTCTTCTTTATACGATAATCTGTAATTTCAGCTGCACGCCTACATATCTCCAGAGCTCGACGTGCATCTCCTGAAATGGCAGCTACCTGACATGATTTATACCAAGTAAATAACACTCCAGAGTACAAGTATAACGAATATTAAGCTCAAATAATGCAGAATTGATGCCAATTATTTTTAATATATGGTACATAAATCATTTTATTTATTACATAAATAAATACATAAAATATTGATTTTTAAAACAAACTACCTTTCTTGATGCAAATTCAATAGCTTGTTTCTCAAATGCATCGATTCCTTCGAGGCGGCTCAAAATTATTTCTTGAAGTTGCTGATAATTATAAGGGCCAAAACAAAGCCTTTCAATACCCATTCGGCTAGAAATTCGAGGAAGCAACTTCTCAGGAAGGTCCATGGTATTTGCAATACCTAAATTAATTTTCATCAGAAAAAGGTTACTGAACTCACAAAAACTATCATTTAACCATCACTGTCCTCTAAAAGGTTAAATAAAGCACAATTGCTGTTCCCAAGGAACTGTTGGGAGGGTAGATAGATCCTGGATGAAGCTCTAATAGATCTATGATCACATAGTCACATAACACTAATCTAAATGTTTCGTCTAAATAAATTAGAGAATATTGAAAAGATTTCTTTTCAGTCCAATCTAGATGATCTCCAAACCAATTGGTCATCTTTTAATGCTTGAAAACCTTTTTAAAGAAAGAAAAGGAAAAGAAGGGAAATTCAAAGTAGAAAACACCAAGGCGATAAAGTGATAAAAGGAAGAAGAGCAGAGGAAGCAGAGAGCACCATCAATGAGTACCTATCACAATTAACTTTCCTTGTGGCTTTGTCGGCCAGTCAAGAATGTTGTATAAAACCTGTTAGAATTATTTAAAAACAGAAAAGGAGAGATATTAGAAACCAATAGCTGCCATATTAAACAAGCATCATTAAATAACAATTAAAGATTAGGAATGAAGATCTTTTTGGTTAACAAGTAAAGAAAGCGCAATGCTCACAAAAAACCTTCTCAATTTACACGGAGAGAATTATGACTATAGGAAGCAAAAAACCCATACAATTTACATCAAGAAATGGTGTGGTAAACAACATTTATGAAGAGCCTAGTAAAAACATGTGCCTTCTCTATTACTCTATTACTCTCTGATTTCTTGCTTTCCATATATTCCAAAAGAAAGTCAAAAAAAAAAATTTGTCCATAATAGAATTTTTGCATTCTTGAAGGTTGGTGCATTCAAGCCATGTCCAATAACTCCTTCACTTTCCTAAGAAAAGTGAGATGTCATCCAAGATATTTAGAATTTTTGTCTAGAAATTAAAATATATGCGCACTGTCACAACAATACTACGAAGAGAGTAAGTTGTGACCCTCACGTCGCGACAAGCAAAGCGGTAACCCTCAAGTGGCACTCATCCAGCCACGCGAGAACCAGGATAGACGAGTTTCATGATAGGACCGAGGACGGTGCATCATCCAACACACCATATAAAGTGAGCATTGAAGAGAAGACGAGGCATAAGCAAGATAGGGGCAACATGTAGACAAGAGTGTCAAAAATAGGCTTGTTAAAGGGCCAAGTAGGGCCTTGGGTCTTAACCTTGAAAGTCAGGGTTCTGAAGGGAATTTGGCATGTGGCTCTAGAGTTAAAGTTCGTCAATATAAAATATGAAAGCTCGCATCGGACGAACACTCCACAACACCGTATGACCATTCACCAAAATTATGTCTACACTTGGAAATGTCTCAAAATGTACATTAAGGGGAAGCATGGTGTCAGCTTTTCACCACCCTTGGGCCATGTGGCCTAAGCGAGCTATGCTGTGACACACGTGTATGTCACAGAGAGGGCAAGCGTTGTGAGACGAGTGTCTTGAGCAACTTCATTTGAAGTGGGTCTTTCAAAGATAGTGTCAGACTGCATGGGTGTGCTGACATTGCCCCCGCCCATGTGTCAGAGATTAGATTATGTACCCGCTATCCGGTATGGAATCTGTAAATGATATGCATGGACACAATAGGGTCCAATGCCTTGATAGAAACCCAAATGGATAGATGTTCGGATGTTATGAACAACATATGGTCCCGTTCTCGATGGACAAGACCGAGCAAACTATGATGGTCGATGACATGCCGAGACTTGGGATGGCATCATGACATGAAGGTCGTTTCAATTGGGAACCAAGATGAGAATTGAGATGCAACGTTGCACATAAGAGACCTTGGCTCCGAGTAGAGGCAAGGTCAAGCCGAATGACTTGGCCTAGTGTAGAGGCAAGTCGGTTTAAGTCGTAGATGATTGAACATGCACACACGAGTAGCGTGTGTGGCCAAACAAGCCTGGATTCCGCACAAGTTATGTTCAGTTGGCGAAGACGAACCATGTCTAAGTTCCAACGAAGCCACAAAGATAAGCGAAAAATGAATATGGGGCTTGGGTTCCCCTCAAGGCTTGTCATGAGCGTGTCAAGATCACGATGCCACACGATTGAAAATGTACGACCGTGACAGTTGATATCAAAGCCACACTTTGTGTATCTAGTTGGACAAGATTGATTGTCAGAAAAAAATCTGAGGGTTGAATAAAGACTTCACAAGTGTGTCAAGAGTGCTAGAGTAGGCAGGACGGTTGCAAGTCAAAATCAAAAACATGCACGCACGGGTAGCGTGATTGAACATGCTCACACAGGTAACGTGTGTGGCCAAACAAGCTTGAATTTCGCACAAGTTATGTTCAGTTGGCGAAGACGAACCACGCCTAAGGTCCAACAAAGCCACAAAGATGAGCGAAAAATGAATATGGGGCTTGGGTTCTCCCCTCAAGACTTGTCATGAGCGTGTCAAGATCACGACGCCGCACGGTTGAAAATGTACAACTATGATAGTTGATATCAGAGCCACACTTTGTGTATCTAGTTGGACAAGATTGTCAGAAAAATAAATCTGAGGGTGGAATGAAGACTTCACAAGTGTGTCAAAAGTGCCAGAGTGGGCAGGACGATTGCAAGTCAAAATCAAGAACAATTTTGGGTTGAAGCCAAGACTCCCCAAGTTCATTAGTGTTGTGTGTCACTCCTCATTGAGGGGAGTTCTACCCATCAAGAAGCAAGACCAAGCTCATTTGCCAAGGGGGTCTTGGGGTTTCGATGTGGGCAAGAAATGAAACCAAAGGCACACTAGGTCGTGTGTCCTCCAAAGAACCATTTGCATTAGAGGAATAGTGTCAATGGTTGCCAGCAAAAAAGCTAGGGGTCAAGTGAGACAAGCGCCGACAAAATGCCAAGTTGAGAAGGACGCGTCCTTATGGGGGAGAGCCCAAGTGAATGGGTTGCTCACCTCGTGGGTATGCTCCAAGGTGCGAGCACATGTGTATTCCATGAGTCATCGCCTAATGCCTAAGGTGGGTGACTTCACAATAGGGTCAAGACCAACATCCACTTGAGAAGAAAGCATCAAGCTAGAAGTGGGCAAAGAGAAGTGAAGCTGCAGAAAGACCAGAGAAGTGAAGCTGCAGAAAGACCAGAGAGAAGTACACATGAAGGTGGCTAGTTGAGAAGTTGACTAAAGTGTAGAGCCAAACTTGGACTATGATACTAGCTTCCAGACTTCGCTACCATATGAGTTAGTGCCACAACAAGTAAATGTCATGGTTGGTTTGCGAGCCTCATGCGACTTAGGAATACGATGAGTAAGGCCAAGTGGTCATTATTTGGAGTGCGCTTCCCCTAGCAGAGGCAAAGATATGCCAAAGCTGATTAGTTTATCATGGTTTGTCTAGTGAGTCCAAAGGATCTCATTTCTTCAAGGGCATTCCTTCAACGGTACAGTTATGAACTACTTCCCTTATTTAACGGGACTACACAAATACTCCTTAAATCAAGGGCATTCCTTCAACAGTTTCCGCCATCAGCGACTCTATGGCGAAGGTGAAGGCGATTAGCAATGAGGTTTTAGTGCTTTTGTATATACTTCCATGCCCTTTTTGCAGAAGGTAGGGGGTCAATTTGTGCGTAGGAGTATATTTAGCCTTTATAAGACTTCTCCGCAAGGCAGTGCCTTCATGGTAATGTCTCCATTTCTATTTGGCAAGGGGAGTTCTATTCTTCTCCCTTATCCAATGTGGGCCGATCTGAGTCCTCCCCAGTCTACCAAGAGATCTATGGTATTCCATCGAACAAAGTGTGGACTATCTTTCTACAAATATTTTCTAAATAATCTTCCTATTTTTGTAGCCAGACATTTTGAATAGAGACATGTAGTAAGTGAGAATGTTGGACATTGTGACTTTTTATGAGACTGAGCCTCTAACATAATGACCATGCTGATAACTTTTTTCTATTTCTTCATTAATGGTCTTCTAGAAGAAGAAGGATTTGGGATTCCCTCTTAAGGACAATCCCAAGTACATATTCGGCTATTCACCTATTTTACAACCGTATCTATTGGCAATGTTTTCGACATCCTCTATGCTACCAAGTAGCTACTATATATTAAACAAGCATCATTAACTAACAAAAGATTAGGAATGAAGTAGCTTCGGTTAAACAAGCTCACAAAGTGCAATACTTACAGACTGATTTCTTGTTACAAGAAGATCAAGTTCATCAATGAGAAGAATGCAAGTTCGTTCATCCCCTTTGCAATTATTTACATCTGAAAACCGTTTGGTCAACAACTGAAGCGCTTTTTTCCAATGAACCCTATGCCCAGTTAATGCTTCATGTATAACCTGAAATAATATAGAGCATCATAAACAATAATCAAGGTTGCAATCAAGCCAAGTCAACACCGCCGTTACCCTGTATATATTTTCTGGTGCTGCCAGCTTTAGACCATTGACCTCTACAAAGCAATGAGGCCTTATATTTCCGGCATCAACTTTAGCCCGCAAGTTTCTCATTACTGACAGGACACTCATTGTCTAGATTCAAGAAAAGAATAGCACGTCATTATAATTTTTTTTTTTAATAAAAACAGGGGGAAAAGGAAGTCTAGTTTAGATATCAAAAGTACCAAAGGAACATTACAGGTACGATCAGTTGCTGGCTAAAGAAAGTAGTACTACCTTGCCTGTTCCTGGAACACCATGGATGTACAAGCATCGCCCCAAACATTGATCACCACATATAGCACTTTCTATAAATGTAGTTATCTCCTCAATTTCTCTAGAATAAAAGGTATGTTTTGTCAAAGGAAAGAAAATTACCCATCAAGAAGAAGATTTGTCAAGTTTCCACTCACTTATTCCTACAAGGTAGAGACTTGGGTAATGACGCCAACATGAGGGTTGCCTTTGCTCTTTCCAATTCAGTCTGTTTGTGGCATCTTATATGCTCGGGGATCTTCTTTGCTCCTATCTTTTGTAGTCCACAAAATTGTCCTTTCCTTGAATTCTGCTCGTGCATCAAAAATTCAACAGGGGCAGTTTGCATGAACAAAGCCAAAATAAAATATACATGCAGTAAAAAAGATGATTCGTACTGCAGCCAATTCGTGGGTAGAGCTTGGGTAGTTTCGAGATTGTAAAATTTTTGCTCTCTCTTCTTCATATTCCACATCACCATCTGAATCAGAGTCTACATTCTGTTCCAACTTCCAGTCTTTGTCACTATCAACTGCTTCACCATCCTACCAATTTAAAATGTACAAAAAAAATTATATTATAACAATCAACATCCCAATGCTTATAGTGTACCACAAATCTTGGAGAAATCTACAACCTAAGGACCCCTATATTAAAGGCTATAAACCAGCCTTTTAATCCATGGTAACATGTTTTACCTGGATTTAAACAATTAAAAGTCTTGCTGTAAATATAAAAGAGAGCTAGCTGTAAAAATAAAGACTAACCACGGTAACCAACCAGAACTAACAAAACAGAAGGGAAAAACAGGGGAATAAAAACCAGTAGCTAGAAAGAAACTACTGTACTACATCAGCTAGTTCCACCTTCCCGAAGGCTTACCTCTTCTTTATTAATTTCAGCTAACCGCTTGAAACTATGCCAACGAACGTCATATTCATACTCACATAAAAATATATCATCCCCTTCCTTGGCATTATAGTAGTCTTTAGGATTCATGACTTGACACTGTCTAAGAAGCGATTCCATCTGCAATGACATACATGGAAATTTTGCCGATAAATGAAAGGATGTCTCCTCACAATGCAATAAGATTGAAGATTTAGAATGTAACTAGAGGCAGTAATATATCACAGCTAATATAATCAATCATTTCAATTAGCAACTCTCTTTCTTCTTGAAGTACAGAGAGAAACTATAATCTGGTAAACCTTGCTAAACAATAACCTATATTGTTACATTTATTTCATACCCTATAAGCAGGAATAGCAAAAAATCTTCAACCAAGAATTTGTCCATGCTTCAAATTTAAAAAGTCTCTGAATGTAAGCTTATCTTCTTTTAAGGACAAAAGGTCTACCTTGGTCCTTGCCAAGATACCTTAAAAGAGCTTTATCAAAATAACGGTTTCAAAAAAGCACACACATTCCAGCACATTTAATGACGCACTATTTTCTACAAATCTAAGATACAGCCATGGTAAGGCTACATTTAATAGAATATATTTAATACAAATTATAAGGATATTTAAAATTAACAAGCTAATGCATTTATATGCTCAAGCATTTCTTCAGTTTCTTTTCCATTGCACCCTTACCATCTTCTCAACCCTCACAACTCTCTTATTAACCACCAGTTCTTCCACTGAAGGACCATAACTACATAGAAGCAATACTAACATATGCAGTCTTATTTTATACCACAGCGGTTCAGTCACATTATTTTCATAAGCCTCCAACATTTCGTCGAAGGTTACTTTCACCCCATTCATCATAGGTTATTTTGACATGAAACTGAAATGCACATGGACTTTTTTTTTTTTTTTTTCATAACCAATTCCATAGAAAGACTTTCCAACTGGAGTAACCACTCTTTTTGTCCCACTTTACTGATAATTTTGAATGCAAAGGATCGTCTTCTTTTATTGATTGAAAGTTTTTATACAGCTTAGAAAGCTGCTATTTATGGGTCAGCTCCCTACTTACCTCGGTAACTAACTCTAACAACGACTAAAATCAACGGTAAAAGAAGAAACAAACTAATTATGGCAGTTAATAGCCAACTGATCAAGGAAAACAAAACACAACCTACATCAATTCCCTCCGTCTAACAAAACAACTTGTCCTCAAGTTCATGAAGCCATTGGAAACCATCAGGAGGGTGATAGGTAAAGAGGTCAGCAACATTGAAAATAGAGACCATCTAAACTCTGGCCGCAAATAATTTTATAGGCATTGAACTCGATCCATTGAAGAATAGTGCATGTATTCTATTAGTGTTTTCTTTTCTTCTTCTTTTTTGTGTGTAAAAGTTTGAGTGAGAAATGGTTCGTACATAGTATAAACTCTTTTCCTAAGAGACAATGCTCTTATTGTTTTAATGCTAAAATTACGTAGTAAAGTTCTTGCTCATATGTTCTCCAAGGGAACTAAATAATTCACTATAATATTCAAGTGGATGATTTTGATGAGACAATACAGCCACCACACCCATTCTTGAAGCATCCACAACCAACTCAACGGTTTGCTAAAATCAAGTAGGGCAAGGACCGGGGTTGAACATATTCGATCTCTAGTACAGTAAAGCTCTATCTTGTGTGCTGGTCTCAAGTACAGTAAAGCTCTATCTTGTGTGCAATTCCTCTTTTACTCTTCCTTGAACAAGCATGCCCAAATGGAGGTCTCACACCTTGCTGCTAATTCTGTGAAAATATGAATTGAACGTAAAAACTATAGGCATGTCCTTGGGCTAGGTTGAATGAATTGACATGTGCTCTCCATTATGTAAAACCAAGATGAAAATTAGCTTGGCAAAAGAAAGATTATGAGCATAAACAATTATGCCTGGATGGCTTGACTTTCTAAAATAATGTGACTAGTTTCCACATATAACCTAGCTCTTTAAAGTTGTCAACATCACATGGACTCTCGATTGCATACGTGACCTTCCTTTCAACTACATAAACTAGCAAATAGAAAAGGAAATATAGATAACAAAAGGAGAGAGAGAGAGAGAGAGAGAGAGCAGAAGTATCTCAAATACGTAGAAATGAATTCAACTAGGTTCACTAGGAGATTACAACTACCATAAGTAAAACCCAATTAATTACCTCAATATCTGCGTAATCATTAGTTAAATAAAGCTCTCTCTTCAAGTTATGTGATTGCCTTCCAGCTGCTGTCTCTTCTGGGATTATATACCATCTAACCTTACAGTGATGGCTGCCATTTACTTCTTTCCATAAACTGCACATTTCCAACAGTCTAGTTAACTAATTGTACATATGAAAATCAGGCTGACATTTATAAACTTTCAAAAAAAAAAAAAAAAAAGTCAATACAAATCAACCTTTCAATTTGGGCAGCCCACAAGTCACCTGCCAGAAGCTTCTCCCTCATTGTCCTAACCCGTTTTTTACCTGCCGGAGGCTTTGGTAATTGAACCTCTTTGCCCATTTTAGTAGCCTCACAAAACCCACAAATCCAATCACCATCAGGGATTTCCTTCATGGGCGGCTCCAAACACTTCAAATGAAAACCACCAAGACAATCATCACATTCGATCATTATAGCCTTTCCAGACTTAAAGCACACTCTACACTCCTCAACTTCGGGGTCTTCATTGTCGGAGCTTGCATCTTCTCTCCTTCTCACATAAACATCATCCCCAACCTCAAATTCACCACCATCAAAAACCACTTTCTGATAATACACCCTCTTCCTTGATCTCCCGTCCCCTTTTTTGATCCGTTCAGACTTGAAGTTCTTTGAAGCAGTTGCTCTTGTGACCACTGAGCTTTTTCTGCAAGTCTTTCTCTTCTTTCCCTCTAATTGCTCAAAAGATAAAGGAGGAAACGTAACTTCATTTAGCTTGATTTCACTATCCCGCTTCAACTTCGGCCTCCCTCTAGAAGATTTATGGCTTCCCCCAGATACACCATATCTCTTAGTTCCAGATGATGTTGCAGCTTCACTATTTATTGTTTTCTTCAAATTTTCATTTGCATTTTCTGCTAACCTAGTCGATCTTCGAGACATCTTTGTGTCAATTGGTGCCCTTAATTTCACATGGGGAAGGTGCTCATCTTTGCATCTTCTTCCTCGACTCAGCAGGTGATGGGGAAAAGGAAGGGTCTGCAATAGAGAAACGGGAGGAGTTTAAGTACAACACCCCCAAATTTTCAACTAAACATTGGAAGAAACATTAGTAAAACTTCTCATTTTCTCTAACTCAAGTCAAGCAATAGGTTAAACTACAAATTTGGTCACTATAATTTGGAGAAAGTTAGAATTCAATCTCTACAGTTATAAAAAATTTAAGAAACTTAAATTTATCCACAATACATATTGCCTGATATGATAGTTTAATGCTTCACACTATTGCCCATTATACCAATAAGAAATTAATCTCAAACGACTTTATTCTTTCTTATACAGTTCTAGCTTCAAGTGATTACTTAAGAGTCGACCAACAAGTTCCATTTGGGGATATTTTCATCTCCAAAGGAACAAAAATGTGATATGCGTGATCAGGTCAGTATCTTAAACTTACTAGAAGGAACTACGTTGGAAAACCTATATATACAGCCAATATATTGCACACATATATTCAACAATTGTGAGATTTTATTTAAAAAAGGAAAATACTATCTTTTGGATTTTGAAGATGAAGTATTTCTTTTTAAATATATTTATTTTAAAATTTTACATTATGTAAGTATATTCAACAATTGTTGAACCTAGAGACATACACCTAACTTCGACACGTTTAAGATTTAGAAAATTGAGAACCTAGAGACATTTAAGAGCACTCAGAAGACTTCAACAAAATCAGAAGACTCCTTGAAGCTCTTGAAAATCGAAGATTCTCAGCAACTTGAAGATGGAAGACTCTTCAAAAACCAAAGACACTTTGAAGATTAAGAGACTTTAAGACCTAAAGCCAATAGATGATCTAATGTATAAGATCAACAAGTTCAGGATCGATCCAACGTACAAGATCAACAAGCTAAGAATCGATCCAACATATAAGATTAACAAATTAAAGGCAGATCTAACGTATAAGAACAACACCAGAGACAGATCCAGTGCACAAAATTAACCCAAAATTTGATCCAACAAGGACAACAAACCATGTTAGGTCGAGAATACGCACTTCAACCCATTGATAAGACCTAAAATAGCATTAGTGGTGGCACAATATGAAGAAGGATATAAGAGAATTCACTATGTCTAGTGTGCCAATAAGTGAAGGCACTGAGATAAAGACCACCAGGTTTGTTGCAATTGCAATCTCCAAGTATTTCGAAGTGAAAATAAGAGAATATAGCCATAGACTAAATGGGGTTATCAAGGACGACTAAGGGCTATATAGTAATATGAATGATCATTGATAGGCTCATCAACCGGCACATTTTATGCCAGGAAAGTCTACTTACATACTGGACAGTTGTATATTTATTAGTCCCAACCTGACCATGACTCTAGCATGTCTCATATATTTGTAAATATATTGATTGAGCATGTTGGACACGGTTATATGTAAACTATATGTATGGTAGTTTCTATAGGGATTATGTACCCTTGTATGCCCGTATATTATGTTGGATATATGCTATGTACCCTTAGATCGAGTCGTCTTCCTTTCTTGTCGTTTTATTTTCTTTAAATGTTGTTTTGGTGTATTTTGAGTAAACTATTTGAACTAACCTCAAGAACGCTATTTTGTATTCTTAATTAACTTTATATCAGTTTTAATGCATATTTAAATCTTAAATTTTCCTTGTGTTTTCCACCTTTAAATTTGAAGGATTTTATTTTTATTTTATTTTATTTTTCTTAAATCTACGTGGTGATCCGGGATTCGAGGCATCAAAAAACAGGTCATCACAAAAGCTACCCACTCAACTGGTTGGAGAATTATATATATATATATGTCTTAAAAGTCTGTTCAAATTCTCATCCACATGGTTGAACTAGAAAATTAATAGATGTATAAAGAAAAACAAAACTTCAACAATTTAAACTAGTGAATGAGGTCAGGGCTTTGACTCATTGAACAAGCAATAGTGGAAAGCAGCTACGTTTTGTTCTAATGTTGGACTAAATATGGGCCACAAGGTTGAATCAGGGCTGGATTCAATTTGATTTTTTCACGACACCTAATCACTAAAATTAATGAGTTATATTTTTTCTAAATCGGTTTAGTTTCAGTTTAAACTGCGTTTGGCCTGAGTACTCATGATACCTTTGATGGTTAAGCGTGGGTGAGTCAGGAGCGGGCTCGTAAGTGGTGTGATGAGAGAGACATTGCCAACGTGAATTTCCAAGTCATTTTCTTTTCATGACCAAATTAGCAGTAGAAGTGACTGGCCAAGTTAAAGACCAGCGAGCTAGTATTCTCCCTTTTTTCATTTTTTCTTTCTTGAGTTTAATGAAAAGTTGATGGAAGAGTTGGGTTGATGATAGGTATTTCTGATGCATAGATCTGGCTCAAGGTGTAGGCCAAGTTGAGCGGTAGGTCTGTGAATAGAATACTTATTTGAGAAAGGGAATCGCAGCATGAACAAAGAAAGATTGCACACCAATATGGTTTCTATGTTTGATGGGTTAGACTTGCGTACCTCACATGGAAAGCAACTACTATTTATAGTGGGAATGATAACAATTGCTTTGCAACACTAACAAGCCTAGTTGATCATTATTGCTCGTTATATCCAAATTTATACCCAACATAATGATCTTCCAAGCTTGCATCGTAATCAAGCATTTCACCTTGGCATGACACCTATTGGTGAAAGCTCCTCCAAATTCAATTCAACTTGCCTTATGTAGTGTTTCAACATGAGTTTGTTGTTCCTTTTGATCCACAAGGACTAGAGGAAGGCTTTGATAAATAGTATCTACTTTTTCTTTTCTAAACGTGTGGCTCACCAAAAAAAAGCAGGCATGAAATTGTTCCATATGGGATGCTACCAAAAATATTGAATAATTGAGTTCTTGAAAGAAATGTCCAAAGTCCACCTATCCACGCAAAAAGAAAGGGAGAGAAAAGACTCAACTTGGAAAATACCTCAATAGGCTCTAGTTTACAAGGACCAAGAGGTTGGTAGTCTCAAATTATTTTAACCAAGGCTCCAAATCTGCTATTCTCAACACAAGAGTCCTACCCATGTTTACCATGGCCCCAACACTAAAGTATTGACCCTAGACCATTTTTACCCAATTTTTACCCAAGACTCCAATATCTAGCTTTGATGTATTGGCTCTTAACTACTTTTAACCATTGCTCAGCTACTTAGGTTACTAGGAATTAACCCTTACACTTCCAATAACACACACAAAGCATACCACAGCCAAACATGAAGTTTATATCATGTTGTCTGACATGTACTTTCAATCAACCATCAACATGTATTTTCTCGATATGCAGGCTATTTTATTAAGCTCATATTCTGATCAAAATCAATATAGGAATTCACACAAACATATTTGAGAGTCTTTTGCTAATGAATAACCACAAACAAATCATTTTGGAACAATTCTATTTTCCACGTCAACTTAGATTGAAAGGTGTTTTTGTAAGCTCTAGCCTTATCCCAATATCGGTCTTAAATCTTGTTCAATTAATTCGACACTAGTTCAAAACAATATAAATTCAAACATTAAAGCCTAATAATCAACACTTATAACGAATCCAAAAAGGTTTAGTACGAGTAGTTACCCACTAATTCTTACCAAAAAGGATGGAGTCTTGGCTGGTTTTTAATGTGTACAAACGCGCACTCTTTAGGCTATGGATATCTGGACCTGAGGTTATTCCGGTTGTGGTTCACAATCGAAACTCGTAATTTTGTCGAGAAAATTGCTGGAGAGAAGTTTGTTGTCGAAACAAACGCGCGGCTATCCACAGAACTGCTGGAAGCCGTGCTTTATTCGTTAGAATCACGTCATCACAGACCTGGGTGTCGCTGCATTCTCTGTTGGTCGTAGAAAAGCTGAAATCGCACTGCTCGTAGGGGAACTCGGGTCGTCTTCGGTTGTGAGTAGAGTGCCGGAGAGGCGCCTCACATAGGGGAGATGAAAGAGTCGCACAAATCGATGCCGCAAATCGTGGCGTGGGTGATGAGCTCGGATCACAACCGTCGGGTCTTCTGCCAATCTCGAGTATCTGGAGTCCGAGAGAGTGATCGCGTCGTCACCGAACTCTTGCCGGAGTCGTCACTGTCGCCGGAGTTTAAAAAGACGAAGAAAGAGGAGGGCTGTGCAGTGATGTTAGCGCGCGAGAGAGAGGGAAAGGAAGAGATTTTTTTAATTTTGTTATTGCTTGTTTCTTTTTTTTTTTTTTTTTTTTTTTTTTTTTTT